GGGTTGACTTTTGTCAAAAAATTGGCAGAATCTCTCCTGTAAAACTGACATTTCGCAAAAACTTTGAACCAAACATGCAATTAATATTGAAAACCAAATCCCAATTGTTCAGCATGCATCCGACAAATAACTTTGAATGGCCTCAGGCCTCTTTATACCAAATAAATCATTCTGCCATCTGAAACTAGTCTCAACTCTTAGAACAACATGAATACATTATCAAATTCCAAAATAACTTAATTGAACAAATTTTTAACACTTGATCTTATGGCTACACCTAGTAACTTTAGGTTGCCTACATACCCTTACTAAAGTATCAAGCCATACGTAGTTCTTTCTACAAAAACTATAAGTAAACAAAGATAACTTAATAAAATAAAATCGAGGAACCTTCATAAATAATTCAGATCAATCCACTGAAACTCAATCAAGAGCTATTGAGGTTAGAACAATCTTTTACTCATCCCACATGTGCATAAATATATATATATATAATTAACTTAGTACTTATAAGTAGGAAAACAAGAAAATTGTTAGATAGCATTAACCACGTGAAACCTTAATGTCATTTATCAACAATTTAAATAAAAATATGTTTCCCTCTTTCACATCTAAAAACAAATTCATCACTTAAGAAAATAATTCTGAATTATATAAAATTATTAAAACGTAGAAAACTCTCAATCCTTGTCTCATAAGTTGGAAAAAATAGATTTATAGCCTTCGCCAATAAGTATCAAAATAAAGTCATAATTTTTAGTTTAAAACATTTCAAAACTCAAATACTCTCCACCTAGGCGTACCCCCATTCATGATTTGTCAATTCTATTAATATTTCGTCAATTCCAATAGTATTATGTCAATTCCCATAATATTCCGTCAAGTGTCACATAAGCGACACATCCTTGCAGGCTTCGGAAACACAAAGTCAACCCGAGCCACATTCCTCGCAAGACTGAAGGGACATTTAGTCAGCCTGAGCCGCATTCCTCGCAAGACTCAGGGGACACCTAGTCAACCTGAGCTGCACATCCTCACAGAACTCGGGGGACATGTAGTTAGCCAGAGGATGCATATCCTCGCACCACATCGTTCAGGCGTCCCCGAAACTCGTGGGGCATTGTCATAAATAAGAAAACTGTTTGAAAGGAAAATTAGGGGGGTACTCCTGTTGTGGGTTTGAAAGGCAACTGGGGTGGTACTCCTGTGGTGGGTTTGAAAACCATATTCCGACACTTACCATAAAATTTCTCTTATTCCACAAATCCGCTTTCACAAACCCATTTTCCAAATCGTTTCTCAACTTCCTAAAATCAGTTATTACATGGGTAGCCAAAATCCCTTATCAAGCATAAAGCTCATAAAGATACAAAAATATTCACAAACCTCAATATCAAATTAAAGTTCAATAATCTCATCCATAATCTTGTAAACCCGTCAAAACCCCAAAATAATTCAAATAATAATCAACACTTGTTTATATATAATTTCCATAAAATACTCTATTCCACTATTACAACAATAGACTTCCATAGATAACCAGATATCACTCAGTCATATACTTTAATAATAATCACAATAATAATAATAGATAATGTTAAATAATAATCCCTAGCAATCCCATAACTTCCAAAAATGCATAACCTTCAAATATCCAAATAATACCATAAAATACTATAACATTACCTCATAACCCAAACATAATCAAAATACTTCACAAATTGTCAAGCCTCGTTTATAAGATCATTCTAGTACTTCTCGAAGTATGAAACTACCTCGGAAGACTCTCAATCAGCCGAGTGGTCAAACTTCTCAAATCTGGTCAACGATGTAAGCAAGGGAAGTCGGCAAAATGGATCCGTAACATTGGGAAAAAGATTGGCTCTGAGGGCTGGGCACGGGGGTCCCAGTCCCGAACCCGTCGGCTGTCGGTGGACTGCTCGAGCTGCTCTCGCGGCGAGAGCTGG